TCTGCCTCTTAAAAAGAAAATTAAGGTCCTTATATGTTCTACAAATTGCTTTTCATTAAGTAATGCCAATTTAACACCCTTCTTAGTTTTGTTTCAATTTAAAACTTCCATCAGTAGTAACTATTTGGGTTTTAATCATATTTGTCTTAACAATAAAAATATTAGCAAATTAAAATATAATAGAAAATTTAACATCTTTAATAGTAAAACGTACTGTTTTCTTATTTGCAAATGATTTTTCAGCTGTGATCACAATGACCTTTCACTGTTAATTTTTTGAGAGAAGAACATAGGGGAAGCTTCTGAAAATATACAGGAAATGAAATCATGGATTGTGAAAATAGAGGAACATAATAATTTTTCCCTAATATAAGAATACAAAAAATCAAGCAAGTTCCTGACTCCCCTGCCAGTGATCTAATCAGATCATTAAATAAGGCATTTTTTAAATAAGGAAAGTTGTTATTTGCTCATGGAGGGGAGCACATTTCTGCAGAGTTTGGCTGAAAAGAAATTCTCATTAAGCACAGTTATCTAACAACTTTTATATAACACAGGACCTGGCATAAAGAATATATGAATTGAATATTTATTCCATGACTGAATAAATAAAGGTCAAAAATGTCATATGCAATTTGAAAGTATAAGAGGAAAAATAGCCTCTCAAAATACAATGTAGATTTGGTTTTCTATGTCTAGCATGGATATGGTGATTGCCATTTACTGCTTTTATAGTGCCTTTTTGCATGGGTTATTTAGCTAATTCTAAATTTGTTAGAAATGAGTCTGTTGTATATCTAGAGTGTTCTTGGATTCTTACGTGAATTTTTAAAGTTTTTTCCTGATTATAAATCTTGAAATCTACTTTTATAGTTACTGAACTATAGTAGTTCATCAGTGCATGTAATTATTTGAAATTTTAATTTAATTATGTCACTGCAATAAGATTTACAATAGTATTTAAAATATTAAAGTTTTAGGTGTATAGTGTTACTGGATCAGACCCACCAGAGTGTCCTTCCAAAATATACTTTCAGGTAAAAATAAACCTTGTCATTAAATTTTCAGTTTGTGACCAGAGTGATAGTAGATCATGTAGGGTGCTTGCATTGTACATGGCCAAACTGTGTTTGAGTCCTCCCCTACCCTATGGTCCTCTTAGCACTGCAAAGAGTAAGCCCGGATCACCTCCAGGTGTGACCCAGAAACAATCAAACAAAAATTCTTGTTGCCCCAATTTTTTAAAATCAAGAATTTCAGAATTAAGGTTATCTGTAAGATTAAAGAGGCTGAGGTAAATAAACGCATAGTTCAAAGAAAAACTGGAATTTTTTTTTTTTTGGTTCTGAGTCACACATTGCATTGCTTAGGACTTCATCCTAACTCTGCACTCAGGGATCACTTCTGCCAGGCCTTGAGGAATCATGTAAGGTGCCAGAGATATAATCTGGCTCAGTCACAAGGCAAGTCACAAGGCAAGTGCTCTGCTTGCTGTACTATCTCTCTGTCCCCGAACACTGGAATTAATGAAGGATAAGAAACTAATAATAAAAATGAAGTACCTATCTCAAGAAAAATGTTGACTTTATTTTTTATTTTTTTAAATTTTTTATTTTTTGCTTTTTGGGTCACACCCGGTGATGCACAGGGGTTACTCCTGGCTCTGCACTCAGGAGTCACTCCTGGCTGTGCTCAGGGGACTATATGGGATGCTGGGAATCGAACCTGGGTCAGTTGCGTGCAAGTCAAACGCCCTACCGGTTGTGCTATCACTCCAGCCCCTGACTTTATTTTTTAATTTTAATCTTTTGTAAGATTTTATTATTGAATCAGTGTGAGATAGACCCTTACAAAGCTGTTCGTAGTTAGGTTTCAGTCATACAGTGTTCTAACACCCATCCCTCCACCAGTGTATGTTTCCCAGCACCAGTTTCCTCAGTTTCCCTCCCATCACCCTTTATGGCAGACGCTTTTTTCTCTTTCTCTAGTGAAGGATGAGAAATAACCTAATAATTGGATATGTAAATAAGCTTGTATTCGGGAAGATGTTATTTCACAACTTTACTAAGTAATTACTTTAAGGACTAGTTCCCTAAGTTCCCTAGAATACTGCCAAAGCAATGAAAATTATTATTATAAAGCTAGAGGAAATTTACATAAGAAAACAGATTTGTTAGTGTCAAGCTCAGGTTTCATATAACCCTGTATCAAATAATGCAGGCAGAATTTTTTAAATACTTTTGGGATTTGGGAAACATCCTGACTCTTGGCTCTGCACTGAGGGATCACTCTTGGCAGGCTTGGATACCATATATATGTGTTACAGTGGTAGAATCTGGGTCAGCCACGTGCAAGGCAAACACCTTACCTATTGTGCTATCTCTCTGGCCCAGACTGTTATATTTTAATTCACAAGAAACTCATAAAATCAATAAGGAGACTATTTATAGATATATTTTTTAAAGAAAAAAATACTATTTTTAGTTTGAATGTTTATAATAGCCCCATTCAGTGGTGGTACTGGGGGACATGTATGACCTCTTGCAGTTGTTGCTCCACCTGCCAGAGCCAGTCTGACAGTTGTCGCTGAGACATAGTGCCTGGAGTCCAACAGGGCTCCATAAGTGGAATATTTATATCATGATCTTGCTAGTAATACAAGAAATAAAAAATTATATGAGTATGTCTGTCAGGTAGTTTTTTATTTTCACTTTTTAAATTTTTTGATTTTTTGGGCCATACCTGACAGTATTCAGGGCTTACCCCTAGGTCTGAGCTCAGGGATCACTCCTGGTAGTGCTCAGGGGACCATGTGGGGTGCTGGGGATGGTGCTGTGTAAGGGAATCTCCCGTTCTGCTTTACTATTGCACTGGCCCCTCAGGTAATTTTTAAGTGAAAGCTCCAATACTGTTACTGTGGTGGTAAAATGAGCACCTTTACATATTGCTTTGAAGAGTGTTAATTAGTGCCACATTTTAGAAAGATATTTAAATATATGTGTGTGTATATATATATATACTATGACCCTTAGAAGTATTCATATTTTCTGACTCAGTAATTCAAGTAATCTATACTGAGAAAAGACATATATGTAGACAAATATAAAAAATTATTTTGTTCTCTGTATCTCATAGTCATTCAATTAAAAATAAATTATAAAAGAAAAAGGAAGGAAATGTAGAAATAAACATTTATATTATTTTATCTATAAGATTACTATAAAGCAATTAAATTTAAAAAGTCAGAAGTTGTTTTAATATGCCACTTGTCAAAATCCAATATTTTAATTTCTTCACTTTATTCTTCCATCAAAACAGTTTATCAGAAAAGAAATATGAGCTTCAGTAATTAAATACCATGAATTTTAAATTTTAAAAAAGATTCTTTTCAGTATTACATGTAATACCAAAAATATTTATAAACAATCTACTTGTCTTTTTTGTTTTGTTTTGGGGCCACATCTGGCAGTGCTCAGGGGTTACTCCTGGCTTGGAACTCAGGAACCACTCCATGCAATGTTTGGGGGATCATATGGGGTGCTGGGTATCAAACTTGGGTCAGTTGCTTGCAAGGCAAATGCCCTACGTACTGTGCTATCTCTCCATCCCTGCATCTTTTATTAAAGAATAAGGTTATATAACTTGGCACATTCAGTGAATTGAAAAGTATATAGATATTAAAATGGTTTCAAGTAGTATACTTGGAGAAATGTAACATTAAGTGGGGGAAAAAGCAGGATACCAAAACATATATATTCAGATTGTTGTTGATTCTGTAAAAAAAAGTATGTTCAAATAAGTACCAGGCTGTTAGAATTATTTAAGCTTGGTAATGGAATTGCTGGCCATTTTTATCTTCTCCATTACTTTCTTATTCCAACATATTTGCATTGATATGGTATAAAAACAAAATGGAAAAGTTATTTACACGAAACACTTGAACTGCTACTGATGTAGTCTTTTTTGTTTTGTTTGATTTTGGACCAAATACGGCAATACTCAGGACTTACTCCTCTCTTTGCGCTCAGGGATCCAGCTCAGGTCGGCTGTATGCAAGGCACGTGCTGTACACTCTTCCTCGCTACCCATGAATTCTGTTAGTACTTTGCTCTACAAAAAAATCTGTCATGTATTGAGAATTTTTTATGTCTACTAAATGTTCTTTATGCATTTCATGAAGTCTTCATGATACATTTTAAGTGAAAAAACTTTGAGAGTGTTTTTTCAGATTAGACAGGCAAGGCACAGAGCAAGAATTTGTTTGAACTTACTCTGGAGAGCTTTCTTTTCTTTTCTTCTTCTTTTTTTTTTTTTTTTTGAAGTAAAACAGATTTTATTTGGAGGGTTTTAAGGTGTGCAGAGAGAGAGGGTGAAAGAGAAAGTAACTCGCTCAAGAGAGAATGTGGGCTTCTCCGAGGGCGGAGAGAGCCCCTACACACATCCCAGCATTAGACACGAAAACATGAAAGTATACATCTCAAGAGGGGAGATGCGGGCGACACATGTGCTTAGGCACCACACGTGCTTGGCCACATGGGCACAAGCAGCACATAGGCTCAGGCAGCATATGCGCTGGAGAGCTTTCTTGTAATTATATATATTTTGGTTTTGGATGAAGGTGTTGCTTTATCCTAATTCAAATGAAGCTCTCTTTAAAATATAATTTTTGAGACAAAAGTAGAGATATTTTTTAAGAGATAGTAGTTTAATGAAACCTGTAAACCCATAACTCACTTTCAGCATGTGGCAGTGTTCTTTATCTATCCCTACTCATTCCTCAAGCAATTGCTCTTTTGGAGGGTAAATCCAAGACATATTTATAAATGTTTTTGTATATGTACTTAAACGATTAGCGCTCTTTGAGGACAATCACACATACTTACGTTTCTTATAAATGTGATTTATCACATCTTATAAATGTGATTTATGCTTCTTATTATTTTAAAATTGTCTGGATTCTGCAGTTCCTACTGTAATTTCCCTTGTGTTGTGTTTTTAAGGTGGAATTTAACTTCCTGTGGAACAAGTGTTGCCAGTTCAGAATGCAGTGAGGAGCTGTTTTCATCAGTTTCTGTTGGAGACCAAGATGATTGCTATTCTCTGTTAGATGATCAAGATTTCACTTCTTTTGATTTATTCCCTGAAGGGAGTGTCTGTAGTGATGTATCCTCTTCCATTAGTACATACTGGGATTGGTCTGATAGTGAATTTGAATGGCAGGTAAGTTTATAATCTTAAATTGTTACCATTACTAAAGTAGAACTATAAATTTCTATTTTGATATTTTTATCCAGTCCTAGAAAGTCTTTAACAACACTAATAATTAGGTGAAATGCTTAGGGAATACTGAATAGATATATGTGTACAGTGTTTTAGATAAATATTTTTTTCTTTTGGACCATGAGGTACAAATGTGCCATAATAAAATTTAGGCATATAGTGTTCCAGTGTCAGTCCTACTACCAGTGTCAGCTTCCCTCCGTTAATATCTCTAGGTTCCTTCCCACTCTGCAGCCTGCCTCTTTAATAGGTACATTTTAAAATTTTGATATTGTAGTTTGGGTCCTATGCCTATGCTTATAGTATTGTTGACTCTGTGGTTCACATATATACATGTACCACACCTCTACGTCACTGATGTCTCCAAGGTCCCTGCCCCTTGCCCCTGGTACCTCTCATCTTCCTCTTTTTTCTTTACTCTTCCATTTCTCTCTTCCCCTGCCTTTTCAGTTTTATAATCTAGGGCCAGAGGTTTGTCTACTTTTGATACCTTGTATTCCTTGTCTTGATATTATATATACCATAGATAAGGGAAATAAAACCTAGAAGCCACCAAAATGTCTTTTAATAGCTGAATGGATAAACTGTCATGCATTTATACAATTATTTTTAGTGATAAAAGAAATAATCAGGCCATTATGGAGGCATCTAAAATGCACGTTAATAAGAAAAACAAGTCAGTCCAAAAAGGCTACACATTATTTCAGCTTTATTATTGGAAAAATCAAAACTATGAAGACAGTCAAAATTGTCAGCGATAGGGGTTGGAGAGATAATACGGTGAATATGGCACTTGCCTTCCATGTAACTGACCTGGGTTTGATCCCCAGCATCCCGTATGGTTCCAAGTTCTACCAGAAGTGAGTTTTGAGTACAAAGCTAGGGGTAACCCTTGAGCATTGCTTCCTGTGCCCCAAGTACCAAAAAATTGTCAGTGATTGCCAGGAACTAGGTTTAGAGGAAGGATAAATAGTCATATGACAGCTTTTAGTAATGTGAAAATAGACTATTTGATGCCATAGTGATTAATGTTATTACACATTTATCCAAACCCAAATAATGTATAACACTGAAAATGAACTGTAATATAAGTCATGAAAATTTGGTGATTATTCTATTGTCAGTGTTGGTTTATTGATGTTAACAAATGAGCAATTAGGATAGGGATGCTGATAAAGAAGAGCATGATGTGGGTTTAGTGAGTCTTTTATTGCAAGGAAATGCTAATTTGTTTGGAATAATCGAGAATACTCATCAAAAATATTCGGTGAATGTGTGTCCTTTGTTTTTGCTACTATACCCTTTCGGTTTCTGATGCTACCAATAGTCTTGGAGATTTTAATATAATTTGATTCTGGCATAATGTTTTATTATTTATTATCCCTGCCTTTCTATTCTTGAATGCAAGCAAAGTTACTGTTTGTATAAAATAGCAAATAGTTCTCATGTGTTTATAAAAAGCTACACTGGGATTAAATTATATATTTAGGGATTTACAAACCATTGTTGTCCTAAGTAGGTATTTTTGGTTCTGTTCTCAGAAATAAAGTATAATTTTTATTTTGTATTCCCTTTGTTTGTAGTGATAGTTCTTGCCTGACTGTTTATTTCTTCTTGTGGCACATAAACCAAGTAAAATGATTTTGTAAAAAATTGTTTGATAGTGCTGCCTTACGATAAATGCAGCATATCAGAAAATTTAGGTTGTGTAGCATGCACATTCTCATTGTAAAAGAAAGTAACGTTTAAAAAAGCTTTTCTTACATATATATTCAGTAGGCACTTGAATGCCTGCTAGTAACTTCTTTGTTTGATAGACATCTAAGTATTTGAAATTTTTTTGAAATAGAAAGACTTATTGGAATGTAGAAAGGAAAGAAGAAACTCCCCAGCCCAGAAGAACTTAGTATAAGACTAAGTTCTGAAATTAGATTCTAAAAGAGGAATCAAATGTCTTATTTCAAATCATTTTATTGTCACTGTCACTGTCCTCCCATTGTTCATCGATTTGCTTGAGTGGGCACCAGTAACATCTCCATTGTGACACTTGTTACTGTGTTTGGCATATCGAATATGTAGCTTGCCAGGCTTTGCCGTTTGGGCAAGATACTTTCAGTAGCTTGCTGGGCTCTCAAAGAGGGGTGGAGGAGTCGAACCTGGGTCGGTTGGGTCGGCCGCATGTAAGGTAAATGCCCTACCTGCTGTGCTATTGCTCCAGCCCAAATCATTTTATTACAATATCAAATACCATCAAAGAAACAATTAAGGATAAGTCTCTAAACCCCATTTCGCTGCGACTGTTATACCACTGTTAAGAGCTTGTGAAGATATAAGTAATTTTTCATGGCATCAGAAACATGCAGATGGGATCACTATTTAGTTTTTGGCTGTTTGACAGTTAATACAGTTCATTCTTTTTGATAGCTGAGTCATAACTTATATAATCAGTTCCACAAAAATGGATATTTAAATTGGATTCCTATTTTTCTTATTATAAACTATGGTATACTGAATATTAAGCCTTTTGGGGGGGCTACTCTCCACTCTTCTTGGGGACCATGCAGTACCTGGGAATGAACCATTGTCAGCTTCATGCAAATCAAGCACCTTACTCCTGTGGTGCTATCTCTCCAGTCCCTGATAATGAATAGTTTTTAATGTTTTTTAAGTTAATTTTTAAAAATGTTGGCCCATCGAGATTAGTACCAGGAATTTTACTCCATGGCTTGGAGGCCAGCCACACATGCTAGGGGAAAAGGGAGCTCAAATAGAGAAGGGAGCACCAAATAAAGAGTGTTGGGAAGATCCTCCCAGGATGAGAGAAGCATGCTGAAATTATACTACAGACCAAACATGATTGCCACTCATTGCCTCTTTTGCAAACCACAACACCCAATAGGAGAGAGAGTAAAAAAGGGAATGCCCTGCCACAGGGGCAGGGTGGGATGGGGGTATGGGGGTGGGAGGGATACCGGGATCTGTGGTGGTGGGAAATGGGCACTGGTGGAGGGATGATCATTGTAAATTGAAATCCGAGCACAAAAATTTGTAAATCTACAACTGTACCTCATGGTATCTCACTAATAAAAATTACCAAAAAAAATTGGCCCATACTGGTGAAATAAGCTTAGGACTTATGATCATTCCTGGCAGACTCAGGAACCATATGGGGTGCCTGGTTTCGAACCCAGGTCAGCTGCATGCAAGGCAAGCCCTTACTGCTGTACTATCTGTCCCACCTGAAGAATTTTTGAAGAGGAAAAAATTAATCCACAATCCTCTGTTCATATTTTACTTCAAGTTCTTCTACTTTATATGTAGTTATGAATATGACTTGGATAGAATTGTTAAAAATTTTAGCTTCAAAAAATTTGCGATGAAATTTGTCATTTTAATCATTGTAAAAGCAGTTTCAAGTTCAGCAATTTTTAATATGTTCAGAATGTTATACATCCATCACCACTATGATTTCAGAACATTTCAATCACTTCTAAAGAAATCTATGCCTATTAGCAGATAGTCCGAATTACCATACCCACCCCCCACCCACACCCACACCCATCACCTGGTAACCACTAATCTACTCCCTCTATAGATTTGCGTTTCTGGAAATTTCTTTTAAATGAGCTCATAATTTTTTTTATTTATTGAATCACCGTGAGAACAATCACAAAACCTTTTAGTTTAAGTCTTTGTCATACAATGATAAAACACCCGTCCCTTCACCAGTGCATATTTTCCACCACTAAGAACCCCAGAATACTCCCCTCCCTCCCACTCCTGCCTATGTGGCAGATTTCCACTTTACTCTCTCTCTACGTTGATCACATTCAATATTATGACAAAAGACCCACCATTAAATTATGGAATTTTCCCCAACATTCAGACCTGCCAAAAAGACATCATTAGATAATTTGTTTTTTATTGCTGATTAGGAAGAGCATATGATGTCGTGTGGCTGCAATAGCAGCCACGTGAATTTGGATTTCTGATATTTTAGTAATAAGCCTAGCGGTATTGCTGCCAAAAGCCCCTGGGTTCTAGATTGGTTTGTGTGCCTCTGGAATCATCGTCGTTCAGGAGCCAGAGGAGGCATTTGTGGGTGGCAACCTGGGGCATTGTCATGGCAGGGAGCAGGGCTGATTCCACCCCCCATCCCATGAAGCCCCACGTGCCTTGTCAATGCAGTCTCATACCTGGCTGTTCATTAGGCTCTAAAAGATGGAGACCACCATGCCACCGCTGCAAGGGGGTCAGGCGGAGGGACAAACACCCTTCTCATCCCAGGGCGGCATAGCACCGTAATTAAATGCGCAGTCCAGATGTATTTCGGTTGGACATTATATTTTGCTCAGATTTTCCCTGCACCATTCAGGCCTGTCTTTCAGGGACAAACGCTAGATCATTTACTTTCCATTGATCACTTTGCATATCAGGAGATATCACGTGGCCGCGCGGTTCGGAAGAATAGTCCTGGCACCCCCATACCGGAGCCATGCTTGTAGAAGCTCATGGTCTTTGGGATTCCATCTGGAGAAGGCGAATGAGCTCATAATTTATGGCCTTTTTTGTATTGCTTCATTAAACATAATCTCAGTCTTTATCCATGTTGTGACTTGTACTTAATTTTGTAGTCAGCTCTAGTTGCTGTAACAAAAACAACAGACTGAAGAGATAGTATAGTGGATAAGACACTTTGTGTATATGATGTGAGATAGGGTCCATAATCATTCTTTTGTGTGTAACCTATTTTCCCAGCACCATTTGTTGAAAAGACTATTCTTTTTTCACTGGTGTGGCCTTGGCACTCATGTTGAAAATAATTGGTTATGAGTATATAAATTTATCTCTATACTTGCAGTTCTATTCCAGTGGTACATATGTCTATATTGTTGTTTTTCCCCCATGGCCTTTTGCAAAGCGTGCACTCTACTGCTGAG